TTCGCCAGAATTTTATTGAGGATTTTTGCATCTAGGTTCATTAGAGATATTGGTCTGTAGTTTTCTTTCTTTGAAGTGTCTTTGTCTGGTTTAGGTATCAGGGTGATGTTGGCCTCATAGAATGAATTTGGAAGTTCTCCCTCCTTTTCTATTTCCTGAAGTAGCTTGAAAAGTATTGGTATTAGTTCTTCTTTAAAGGTTTTGTAAAATTCTGCTGTATACCCATCGGGACCTGGGCTTTTCTTAGTTGGTAGTCTTTTTATGGTTTCTTCTATCTCCTCAATTGATATTGGTCTGTTTAGGTTTTCTATATCCTCCTGACTCAATCTGGGCAGATCATATGACTTAAGAAATTTATCTATGCCTTCACTATCTTCTAATTTATTGGAGTATAAGGATTCAAAATAGTTTTTGATTATCTTCTGTATTTCTGAAGTGTCTGTTGTGATATTGCCTTTTTCATCCCGTATGCTAGTAATTTGAGTTCTCTCTCTTCTTCTCTTCACTAGCATCGCTAAGGGTCTGTCGATTTTGTTTATTTTTTCAAAGAACCAACTTTTAGTTTTGTCAATTTTTTCAATTGTTTCTTTTGTTTCGATTTCATTAATTTCAGCTCTGATTTTAATTATTTCTTGCCTTCTACTTCTTTTGCTGTTGTTTTGCTCTTCTTTTTCAAGGATTTTGAGATGAAGTATGAGATCATTTATTTGTTGGTTTTTTCTTTTTTTAAGGAATGAACTCCAAGCAATGAATTTTCCTCTTAGAACTGCTTTCAATGTGTCCCATAGATTCCGATATGTTGTGTCTGTGTTTTCATTTATCTCTAAGAATTTTTTAATTTCCTCCTTGATGTCTTCTATAACCCATTGATCATTCAGTAACCTATTGTTCATTCTCCAATTGATGTATGCTTTTTCCTTCCTTCTTTTATCGTTGATTTTCAGTTTCATTCCATTATGATCAGATAAGATGCATGGTAATATCTCTACTCCTTTATATTGTCTAAGAGTTGCCCTGTGACATAATATATGATCTATTTTTGAGAAGGATCCATGTGCTGCTGAGAAAAAAGTGTAACTGCTTGATGTTGGGTGGTATACTCTATATATGTCAATTAGGTCTAGGTTATTAATAGTGTTATTGAGTTCTATAGTTTCCTTATTCAACTTTTGTTTGGAAGATCTGTCCAGTGGCGAGAGAGGTGTGTTGAAGTCTCCCATGATTATGGTGTGGTGGTCTATTAGACTCTTGAACTTGAGAAGAGTTTGTTTGACAAACATAGCTGCACCATTGTTTGGGGCATAAATATTTATGATTGTTATGTCTTGTTGGTGTATGGTTCCCTTAAGCAGTATGTAGTGTCCCTCTTTATCTCTTTTGATTAACTTTGGCTTGAAATCTATTTTATTTGATATGAGTATGGACACGCCTGCTTGTTTCCGAAGTCCATATGAGTGATATGATTTTTCCCAACCTTTCACCTTCAGCTTATGTATGTCTTTTCCTATCAAATGCGTCTCCTGTAGGCAGCATATTGTTGGGTCTTGTTTTGTGATCCATTCTACTAGCCTGTGTCTCTTAATTGGTGAGTTTAAGCCATTAACATTTAGGGTTATTATTGAGATATGGGTTGTTGTTCCAGCCATATTTGTTTATTTCTGTTACTAAACATGGTTTGTTTTCCTCTTTGATTGTTTCCCCCCCCCTTTACTGTCCTACCTCCCACTGTTGGTTTTCATTGTTATTTTCCATTTCCTCTTCCTGTAATACTTTGGCTAGGATGTTTTGAAGAGATGGTTTTCTAGCTGCGAATTCTTTAAACTTTTGTTTATCGTGGAAGGTTTTAATTTCATTCTCCATCCTGAAGCTTAATTTCGCTGGATACACAATTCTTGGTTGGAACCCATTATCTTTCAGTGTTTGAAATATGTTATTCCAGGATCTTCTAGCTTTCAGAGTCTGTGTTGAAAGATCAGCTGTTATCCTGATTGGCTTGCCCCTAAATGTAATCTGCTTCCTTTCTCTTGTAGCTTTTAAAATTCTCTCCTTATTCTGTATGTTGGGCATCTTCATTATAATGTGTCTAGGTGTGGATCTCTTATGATTTTGCACATTCGGCGTCCTGTAGGCTTCTAGGATTTGGGATTCTGTCTCATTCTTCAAGTCTGGGAAGTTTTCTTGTATTATTTCATTGAATAGACTGCTCATTCCTTTGGTTTGGAGCTCTGTACCTTCCTGTATCCCAATGACTCTTAAGTTTGGTCTCTTAATGTTATCCCATATTTCTTGGATGTTCTGCTCATGGTTTCTTAACAGTCTTGCTGAGCTGTCTATGTTCTTTTCCAGTTGAAATACTTTGTCTTCATTGTCTGATGTTCTATCTTCTAAGTGTTCTACTCTGTTGGTAGTATTCTCCATTGAGTTTTTAAGTTGGTTTATTGCTTCCTGCATTTCTAGGATTTCTGATTGCTTGTTTTTTATAACCTCTATCTCCCTGTATAGTTGATCCTTTGCTTCCTGGATTTGTTTGCGTAATTCGTTGTCGAAGTGATCTTTCATTGTCTGATTTTGCTGTTTAATGTCTTCCTTGATACTCCAGATCATCTGAAGCATGTATATCCTGAATTCTTTATCTGACATTCCATCTGCTGCAGCTGTTACCTCTTCTAAAGTTGCGTTGACCTGCATTGCTTGTGGTCCTTTCTTTCCTTGTCTTTTCATACTGCTTGCGTATCTTTCCTGCAGGTGCGGGCGGCGGCTCTGCTCTCTCCTTATTCCAATTGGGGTGTCGTGGCTACCACGCCGGCAGGTCACTGGGCCTGTTCTGGGAGCTGGTGGCGGCTCTGTTCTGCCCCTACTCCAATTGGGGTGACGTGTCTGTCGTACCAGCAGGCCACTGGGCCTGTCCCGCTGGTCGGTCGCAGATCTGCCCACCTTTCGGGCACGGGTGGCGGCTCTGCTTTGCCCCTCCTCCAATTGGGGTGTCGTGACTACCCCGCCTGCAGGATGCTGGGTCTGTTCCTGGCAAGGGAGGCGACTCTGCTCTGTCACTACTCCAATTAGGGTGGTGTTTGTACCCCGCCGGCAGGCTCCTGGGCCTGATCCGCCGGTCTGTTGTAGGTCTGCCTACCTTGAAGGCGCGGGCGGCGGATCTGCCCTGCCCCTCCTACCACGCCTGTGGACCCCTGGGCCTGATCTGCAGGTTGATCACTGGTCTGCTCACCCTGCGGGCACGGGTGGCGGTTCCGCTCCACCCCCACTCCAATTGGGGTCACGTGACCACCACACCGGCAGGGCCTGATCCGGGCGTGGGATAAGGATCTGCTCTGCCCCTACTCGAGTTGGGGTGACGTGTGTACCACACTGGCAGGCCACTGGGCCTGACCCGCCAGGCTGTCACAGGTCTGTTTACCTTGCAAGCGCGAAGGGCGGCTCTGCCCTGCCCCTCCTACCACGCCCATGTACTACTGGGTCGTGGGTCTGCCCACCTGGCGGGTGTGGGTGGCGGCTCCGCTCCGCCCCCTCTCCAATTGGGGTCACGCGGTCACCACGCTGGCGAGCCGCTGGGCCTGCTCCGGGGGCTGGCGGCGGCCCGGCTCCTTCCCTCTGGCTCGAGGACGAATTGAGGAGACTCGGGTGACTGAGCCTCACCCCCCTTACCAGGAGACCAACTGCTTATGTCACCGCTGGTATTGATGAAGATCTCTCCTCCACCGCTTTCTGCTGACATCAGATCTCTGCCATGTTGGTATCCTATGCGAATGGCAGCATTTCGTTCCCCTTGCCAGGCAACCCAAGCAATGGGTGAGTCCTGACCTGCCCTCAGCAGGACCCGGACCGAGACACAGTTTCCGCGGGCTCCTAGCCCCGGTCCAGGGAAGTTCCGGGAGCCGGAACTCGGCCGCTCCGTGCTCGGTGTAAGCTCCTATAAGTGTCAATGTATCTATTTTTAAAGTGTTTTTAAAGATGGCAACAAGTTAAAAGCTATCAATTATAAGTAACGATTTTATAAAGTTATATTCCAAAAAACTTTGGACAATCCATAAATGATATTGTTTTCAACATAATTTATTGAGCACTGATTTAATACCAGATACATTGATAGCTTTTAATTTGTTGGTATATATAATTGATAGCTTTTAACTTGTTGCCATCTTTAAAAACACTTTAAAAATAGATACATTTAGGGATATCTGTAAAATTGTTGAGGTTGTGTGTTGAGGTTGTGAGGTTGTGTGCTGGGCTTTGAAGGGAATATGAGTTAATCATTATATATTACACACATACATATATATATTTTTGTTTGTTTGTTTTTTTGTTTTTTTTTACCTCAGGGTGTTTATAATCATCTTGTGGAACCTGGCAAACATCTGTTAAAAAATAGGAAAGAATACTAGATGGAATCTATTTAATACCTTAGGTTTACAATATTTCTAAAATCTCTATAGCATATGTTTATACAACTTGTCAATATACCTCTCTAACACATGTATCAGAAATGTTTCTCAATGTAAGAAAGTAGGAAAAAATTTTAAATACCTTCTCTAAGATACTTTAGAAAGAACCATGCACTTCTGATAATGTATGAGCAATTATGAGGCTTTATGTCAAAATCAAAGATTCTTAGCACGGTTTTAAGGAAAACAGTGATAATTTGACTACTTTTCTAAATTCAGAAAGTCTGTGTTAGCTCTGTAAGCCCTAGCTTAATTGAATATAGTCAATTAATAAGAATTTCCACTTTTATCATGTTCCTGTGACATGAACATCATAATCTTCCCCAATGTCTATCACCATGAGACTTAACTTTTTAAAAAATTTGATACGTGTGATCTGAGATATAGTAAAAGAGTCCCCAAGAATTGACTGAAGGAAATCTTGCATCTCCTAACTTAAAAATAATCCTTAAAATTAAAATTTCGTATCTAAAATGACTCAGCACGTACTCAAATCAACAAGGACCACGTACTTACTGCTTTGTATTTTTCTTTCTTTGTCAGAAGATCACCAATGTGCAACCAACCATCCATCAACAAAGCCACCATAACAGGTAAGAGAGATCTGCGGACTTATTCTCCTTGTGTCCAGGAAGAATCTGTATCTTTCAATAGTCCGCATCACATTAATGCTGATTCTATACTCCAATTCTAAAATGTCAAAGAAATAAGTTTTGTCTTCTTCTTTATGCTATCCTCACTATCATTGATCTTACAATTTTTCCATTTAAGCTGTTCCTTGGAAAACCTGTTCTAATGTGCCCCATTCTTAACCACTTGACTTTATATTGGAACTCAGTTCAGCTTTGTTCTAGGCATTTGTGTTGCGGGAGACAGAGTTACCCTCAGAATATCTGCCATTTTTGTTCCAGGCTTGGTTATCTGCTTCATCTTCATATATGGTAGTTTAGTTTAATGAAAGTAAAAGTATAAATAAGAGAAATATGTGTTTTGTGCTGGAAGGAACATATTACTATTCCAGTAGTTCTTATGGGAACTCAGGTTGCTGAGTATAAATACAACTTGTGAGGGGAGAGAACATGTTATTACACAATACAGAAAAGTTCAGTGTGATGAGAAAAGGGTCTGTTATGCCAGATTCGTGGGACCCCAGTAGACCTCCAGGAGCTGAATCTGATGCAAGCACATAAGAGTCTTTATTGCAAGCTGGAACCTGGATTCACAACCAATCCCGACGCAGCCATCCCAGGGAGTGAGTCCCGGTCCTTTGTTCAGTGAGATTTTATAGGTTTTGGGGAGATACTCTATGCGTCACAACATCACACAGCAAATCATTCCATATCGCGGGAAAATCAAAAACAACAACTCTTAGCATTGATTAGCACATTCACCAGTGGGAACAAGTTGGGTAGGGGTGATTGGCTAGTACAAGAGGGGGATTCCTTTGAACTGATTGGTTTAGGCCACGAGGGGTGTACGTGCTAAACTACATGGTTTCCCAACATGTTATCAACCACCATAAACTACTGGGGGGTCATCTGGCATTCCAGGTATTTTCCCTGTCTTATGCTGATTGGTGGTTTCTAGGGGGTTGCCATGGGTCCTCACCTAGCCCAACTGAGTCAGGGACACCTGGCGCCTCAGACCTCTCCTGTTATTTACAGACAAACAACTCAGCCGGGTGGGTATGTGCTTAGGAGTGCTCTGTGGGTTTTTCCAAGGACAAGGGTCAGGCCCCCTTCCTTAGGACAGGCCTTGAGGTAGAAGCTGCTATTATTTATTTATTTTTTAAAAATGGAGTCACATTAGTTTCTCAGGTCCACAAATGTTTGGGAAAGAAAAGTAGAAGAAAGGATGAGGGAAAGAAAAGGCATAAAAATATATTATCCCAATGCCTATTGGTCTGATTTAACCAGGAGACTTGACCTGAACTGAACCAAAAACAGAATGAATGATCTCATTTTGCTGAACCTGAAACCAAATTGAACCTCATTTAATCATTTCTCAAAACCCCAATTGATTCATTGAAATAATTGCCTGGAAAAGAAAACCTATGATTTCTAAAATTATTACCAAAAGAAAATTAACATACTCTCCAAACTAGACCAATACTTCATCTTGATTCAAGTGTCTTCTTAGAACCCCAACCCTTAATAAGGAGCTTCTTATTAAATTTTTAGTGAATACACATTGCTCGAAATTTAACTTTGTCATGTCCAGTCAACTGGTTGCCTTTGTAGTCACCACATCAGAGTTGATTCTGAAACAGTAGTTAATGTTATCTTCTTATCTGAAAGTCTACCAAATAGCACTTGTATTTCAATGACTATTACATTTTTTGTTCTTTTTTCCGTGTTTCACTTTACAAATCTTGTTGGTAATGACTTTCCATTGTCATTTCATAGTATATATATTCATTTCATAGTATATATATGGTTTACCAATTTTTTTCTTGACATTGACCAAGAGATCAACAGTAAAGGATTTCTAAATACCAGAATAAGTTATTTTAGGAACAAAAAACACATTGAACCTGGTCTCCAGCCCTACTCCAGGAATACAGGTACCCCTGTGAACAGGAGCTACCTTCCCCCCACCCACTTTTGCAATAAGCAAGACTGACATTTTGGTTTGAGTACATTGTGTGCTATTTTGGTCTCTTGGCATTTGTTTGTTTGTTTTGTTTTAGTTTGAGGTTGCATATGAGCTTGCCTCACAGATGGGGCAGCATCTTCCCAGAAGAACAGCTTTAGAACTCCTTTGTGTCCTGCACAAGATGTTTGGGTGTTCAGTGGTCAGAGCAGCTGCCAGCCACCTTGGCAGATGACCAGCTGCACTCAGAGACCACAGACATGATCTTACACATAGGTGAGAAACCCCACAGAAGCTCCCAGAAACTTTTACATAATATTGAATGAAGCCCTGGAGAGGGAACTAAGAGACACTGGAATTGGGCAATTAAGGCTAATTGGACCTCATTTGTACCCAATAACTCCTGACCTGAGGACTACAGAAACTTCCCATGTAGGAAGGGAGAGCAATTAGCTGTCATTAACTGCTTGGCAGCTGGGCTCCTCACAAAGCCCAACAGGAAATTGCCTGGCTAGTGAAAGGAAGTCTTTTTTCTTGTCCAAATATTGCAAACCAAGGTGGGAAGAGGGTCTGGAGTGTGAGGGGATGATGGCAAGAGCAGTGAAAAGTTCCTGTCTGTCATCCCATTCTGAAAAAGTGAGTCCTTAAAACCTAAACAATAATAGTAATGGTGGTTGAGTCTTTGACACTAGTTAGACTTCAGATAAGAAAAGGTAGTACTTATGTGTTTCTTCCCTCCAGGCTTATTCCCTCCTGTTAGAAGCTCACTATATCTCTGTAGTAGTACTGAGGAGATGAGAAAAGTGGTTTTTTATTTTTTTTTAAGTCAGCAAGGCAACCTAACAGATCAAGGCAGCCATCTTTGAAATTTTGCTGCAAATCTGGAGGAACAGGGTTGTCTAAATTCATTTCTTCACTAGCCCAAAGGGCTATATTGAACAAGTTCAAGGCTGCCCTGCAGGAGTCCTTCATAGATCTACAGAGATGTGATTAAAATTGTGAGCTGCCTGTCCAGAACTCAAATTGTTCTCTATCATGACAGCTGTATGGCCCTGAGCAGGTTGCATACCTTTCTCTGCCTTGGTTTCTCCATCTATAAAATAGTGATCCCACTTTATGCAGTAAGATCACCGTTGGTAGGTGCCATGAATTAATGTGTTTGCTTTTACGTAGCATGGTGCCCAACAGTGTCAGCACTCAATACATCTTGGCAAATTTTGTTTTGTTGTTTTGGTTTCTCTGACCTACTCTGTACATAGAACTAGGGGTATCAGTTCAGACTCTATAAAAAGTACCAGAGATTATCCTCATAAATTTATAAACTACATAAATTTATTTCTTATGGTGTTAGAGGCTGAGATCAACTTGTCAATGTGTTTGAGTTCTAGGGAAGGACAGGTTGCAGACCTGTCTTTCTTATTATATCCTCACAGGGTCGAAAGGGGGCAAGCTGGTAGGTTCCTTTAAAAGGGTGCTAATTCCACGCTCATGACCTGATTATCTCCCCAAAAGCCCTACCTTCAACTATTACCATGTTGGGGATTAGGATGTCAATGTGAATTTGAGGTGCCCATACACTTTCGGTCCATCATGAGGGACAGTGAAAGGAACAGGACAGAAATTAAAAAGAAAAGGGAAGAGTGAGAGAAAGACAAGGATGCAGAATCGTAAGAGTAATGTGTGTGGATCCCCCAAAATGGCCCACAGGGACACACTTGCTTTGGACCTGTCCAAATGATACCTCCTATTGTCCTAATTTTGTGTCCTTTCCCCTCATCACTGTCATAGATGTTAGTGCATTTTTTATTGAGATGATAAGATTATTCTTCAGAGTCTAAAAACTTACTTTTGAGAGCTAGTTTTTTTTGAAGGAAAAAATAATTCACTATAACTCTTCCATAAACCAATTCTTTAACTGTAAAAAATAATTAAGAACTTCTATGTCATATAATATTTCCTGAAAATTAGTCCCATAGAACATATAATACCTTTTTACCCACTTCAAGTTTGATTATTTATTGGTACTGGGGATTGAACCCAGGAGCACTTCACCACTGAATGTCATCCCCAGTCCTTTTTATTTTTATTTTTTTTAATTTGAGACAAGATCTTGCTAAGTTGCTTAGGGCCCCACTAAATTGCTGAGGTTGGACTCCAACTTGTGATCCACCTGCCTCATCTTTTCAAATCACTGGGATTTCAGGTGTGTGCCATCATGCCAGGGTCAGGTTTTTGTTGTTGTTGTTGTTGTTACTTTGATAAATATTAAACACAGAGAAGTTGTACTTCATACCATTAGAGTTAAAACATGTCAGATACCTGCCAGTTTTTATTTTTACTTATGAGAGGTAATTACATAGATCTAAAGTGACCTAATAATTCTTTAAAATAGGGCTTCTAAAATAGTATTTAAAAAACAAAAGATTTACTACTGAAGATCTGTTTTAAAAAAATTTTATTAGTTGTTGATGGATCTTTATTTTATTTGTTTATTTATATGCAGTGCTGAGAATTGAACCCAGTGCCTCACACATGCTAGGCAAGCACTCTACCACTGAGCCACAACCCCAGCCCAAGAGCTATTTTATTCTTTAGTGTGATATAACAAAAAGCTGATGTGTGGCATTCAAATCCTGATGTGAAACCTGTCTCTCTCTTTCACTTTATTTTACAGTTTGAACAATGGAGTTGTATGTACTTAGTTCTCAGGGTGGTTGCAAGAGTTCAAGAGAAAGTTTTAGAAAGTTCACCAGGTGGTGGGTACTATAAGCATTTCTTTCTACAATCCTGCCCCATGTTTGATGCTTTTTGTTCTTTAAGGTAATTCAAAAACAGAAGAGTGGAAGTAGCAGAGGCCAATTAAAGTTCATTGGCTTTTCTGGCATATTTCATTAATGACTTTACTTTTGCACAGTAATGACTGGACCTTTGCAGTAATCCCTCAGTTACTTAGAGAAAGCCTCACCTGCATTGGTCTTCAGCAGGCAGTACCTGCCAGAGA